TACAGATGAGATCTTAGTTCTCAGTGTAGTTGAAGCATAAACTAGTGGCTCTTAAATGAAAAGTTGTTTCCACTTGAAATACGTGCTACTGAGCTTTACTTATAAAAAAAAAAAAAAAAACCTCCTTACCCTAGGTGCCTGCCCTTCTCTGGAGGGGTTCGTAGTCTGCTTAGATCTTTTCCTGTGTGGCAGACTTACAGAACTTATGCTTGATATCAATAAAATATTTTTATAAGCAAGGTCCTTAGTCTATGGTAGTAACAACCTTGCCTTGCTTGCAGTTTTCAATGTATTATATCTATTTTATAAAAATTATCTTAAATAATGCAATTTTTATTTTTAAACATTTAAGAATTATTTATATATCACACCATAGGCACTAGGATGAATATTTTCAGGTGTTTCAGCATTAGTTATTCTTAACTATCTACAAGGTGTCCCTCAGGCTTATTCGAGCCTGAAGTCCTAGAATTTTTAGGTTGGTATTACGGAAGACTAGTTTTGCAGATGACTGTCTGTCTGAATGTCTTAAAAGTCCTGCTCAGTCTCTTGTACATGTTCAAATGAACTGATGGGGCCTGCTCTCCACTGACAAGTCCCATAGGCCACTGATAGCTGAGATTTTGCAACTGCTTTTGTAGGGTTTCTAACACAAAGAAATGTGGTGGTCACTGTCCTAATCAGCAACCCTCTCCTAACACTTTCCCACCCCGTGCCTCTAGCCAAGAAAATAATCCTAATATGTCAAACCATGCTAGGTATCTCACCTCTCTTTTCTTTCCAGATATACAGGGTATTAGAATTTGAAACTACTAATTACATAGCTAATTCATGCCTGGTGTCTGATTTTCCATAACGAAGAGTTCGAAGTCCAAGTTCCTATACTGTTGTTTTGTTTTTTCAAATTGTCTTGACACTTTTCTTCATCAATAAAGTTATGTTTCCTGATAAGTTCAACAGTAGCTGTTGTGAAATAGATATACACTAGCATTTTATAGGATGTGACAAGATTCAGTATTTATCAGTAAGGGGGAAAAGGTCATGGTGCAGGAGATACTAATCAGAAATTGTTTTCTCCAAGTACTCGTGTGAAATGAAGCTGATGCACGTGAATCTTAATTTGAAAAAGTCAATCTGAATGCACTTTGAAGTTTCTTCTCCTTTGTTACTCTTAAAGTATTTTAAAGGGTACTAGTGCAGTTGAAGAAAAGAGTTTTAATGTTTGGAAATTGCTATCAAATTTCATCTGTATATGTTAGCTTCAATAACCTAAATCAGTAATTCATATTTTCCAATTTGTTTTTTTTTTTCTTGGTACTACTTGATTTACTACTAAATACCCTAAATGCCCTAAATTTGTTACTTGTGTGCTGAGATTTTGGTCTATAGTTGAATTTTCAGAAAGAAGAAAAAAATAAGAATGAATTGGTGGGGCACAGTACAGTAGACCCTTGATTTATGAATTTGATCAGTTCTTGAGGGCTGGTTGTAACTAAAGTTGCTTGTAAGTCAGTATAGCTGAGATCTGGATGTTTCCCTGGATGTACACTGTAGATAACAAGAGGCAGGTGAATCTTCCATTAATCTCCTTAACCCAAGTTGTGTGTCAGGCTGGTCGTAACTTAAGGATTCATTATATTAAGCTTGGTTTTACTTTAAGCAGAATCCAAGATCTGCTGTGAGGTCATTATACCTGTAATTTCCAAATTCTGAATGGACAGTAATGCCTTAAACAGAGTAGGAAAACGTTTTGAAATGTTTAACAGAAAGGATTTGGTCCTAAATTGACCTCACAGTTACTTTCTCTAATTCATAGTTAATTAGGCTTCATGTTGGACCTGCCCAAAAAAGAAATGAAAGATTGAGGTATTTCAAGATAGTGCTTGTCTTGTGTAAACCACACGAGCTCAGAAACTTTGTTGTGCCTCACTTGGTTTCTTAATGTGACCAGTTCTTAGCTATGTTCGGGAGGCTCATTCCTGTCCTTACAGTATTTTATCAGTTGTTTTGAAAATAACTCTTCTTTCATGTCACTTAATTGATAGTTCAGGTAATATCTTTAATAAGTTGAAAAACAAAAGCCATAACATATAATGGCAAAAGAAATTAATGCACATACTTTTTAAAAATAAGGGCTATCTTTATCTCACTGTACCGTGAATCTGATTTTTAACTTACCCATATCTTTGTCTCTAGCTCTGTAAACAGCTGAGATCATGAACCCTGTGGGGAAATAGGGAAGGAAGAACTAGCATATTATGTATATGCAGGCTCTTATGTTATTTTCTTTTCATTTGTATCTCAGTGGTCCTGTGAAGTGTGCATTCACTCATTTACAAATATTTACTGCTATTTAGCTATTACTGGGAACTCATCATTTTTCAGAACAGCAGCTTTCCCTGAGCCAGTGGCAAAGCCAAGTCCTCCTCAACTCTGGGGCTATGTGGGTTTTTTGGTTTTTTTTGTGTGTTTTCCCATCTCGCTATTTTCCCACAATGAAGCATTTTTTAGCATATGTCCCAAAGGTGATACAAAATGGAAGAACATTTCTACTACCTTGGCCTCTTTGTTGGCTAATTATTTAAAATTCATTTGTCTGAGTAGGCATAGCAGCTGTTGCATTTGTCATTTTACAGAAGCGGAGGTAAAGACTCAGGTCTTCTATTTCTACAGCTAGTATTCCTCTCCTCTGACTCTCAGTACCTAAAAATGCTTTGTCATTTTAAATCCGCATAGCCAGTAGTCTTGCAGTGTTTTGTGGGGCCTAGTATTCTTGGAAGTATTGTGCTCTCCTACATTTCTATAGTAAGACCATTCACTCAGCATTTCAAGTCATTTTAGTTTCTAGGCTAGGCAAGATTCAAAGTTTAAGGTCCAGAAGTAGATATAAATAATACTGATTTTTATCCTTACCTCTATGAAGCTTATGTTCTTTGAGACTTTACAGATATTTAATAATAATGATATAGTTATATAATCATGATTTTGATAAATTTAGAATGCAAGAAAATCTATACCAAGAGGGCCTGCCTTAGACTTAATTCAAGCCAATAACAAATGTTTCATTGTATTTATGAGATAGTTTAATAAATTGATTACTAAGAATCTTTTTTTGAAAAAGACAATACAGGGCTGGAGATTTAGCTCAGTGTTTACGCCGCCTGCCTGGCAAGTGCAAGGTCCTGAGTTTGATACCTGGTACCAAAAAAAAAAAAAAATCAATATAAAACAAAAGCTATAAAGGAAACAGTAAAGTGAGTTCTTGGCTTACATGGTTGAAGCTAGTAAGATGCAGTGATTCTTGGGCCAAGTGCCTGGATTTCTGTCAGCCACCTGGGGTTAATCCACTCATCCTTGGAAAACCTCCTGGGATATTCCCCAGAGCTGGGCCATTCATAAACTATAATTTGGTAATCCTTGGCATACTCCCTGTAGGCAGTCATGTCGATATCTGCCAGCTATATTGTGGGAAGTTAGTCTTGAAGAGTGAATCTCGTGTTTATTTCAGCACTTTTCAGTGGCGTGATGATAATAGTGTAAAGCCTATTTATTTTGGATTATTTGTTTGACATCTGCCCCTCTGCCTTCTTACTGGATACAGAGCCATTTGTGTGCTGGCATCTATCTTACTCAACTTCATATATATGATGCCTACCCCTACCTCACACAGTTTTAGACATTTTTTTATAGAAATGACATTTTTTAAAGAATTGCATCCTCTTGTGTAATAAAGAAGTCATTGTCCATAAGATTCCCAATGCTGTTCATATTTTCGTATGCAAAAAAGTCACCCGGGAAAGTGGATTCTGATTCTGCACGTCTGGGGTGGGGCTCAGCTTTGCACATTTCTACCAGCACCCAGGTGGCAGCCACACTTTCGGGAGCACAGCTGTGGGGAGCATTCCTGTGCAGAGATAGTGGCATTCGTGTGTACATTAGCTGACTTCCCCGCTCTGCTACCCACAGTAGACAAGTCATCTGCTGACAAGTTACAAGAAAGCAAGTGAACTACATGTCACTGCACAAATGTATAAATTTAAAAGACAACACTCAACTCCACTTGTGTCTTATAAAACTAATAAGACCACTTTCTGATTGTGCTGTATCTATGATTACCGGGCTCATGACTGGGCTTACAAGACCCAGAAAATACCAAGTAGTTGTAGGGTCACTACTAACACTTGGGCAGCCTGGTAGAAAGGTGATTCAGAATCAGACATTTGCTTTTGTTTGCAAGACAGGTACCATCTGCCCTCGTTCCATTTCTTCTCTCCCTGTTTATGTCGCTGTGCCGCAGCCTGCTGGAACACAGCTGCTGGTGATGGTTGCTAATCATGTTTGTTCATTCTAAGATGATTTGTATTAAAACTGTCCTAATAACAAAAGTTGCCTCTCAAATTCTGACCACAATATACAAAAGTCCTAGGGTTTCTGTAGTGGAAATTTAGCATTCATGGCATCCTTGTATGTTTTATATCATACACATGCTTAGATTTGCATTCTGGTCTGAATTGTACACTCATCTAGCGACTTTCTAAAGCGAGACTGTGCCAACACTACATGCAGCTTGTTGAAGTTTAAATATTTGACTTTAAAATGCTGAATTGTACATTTGGGGAAAAAAAGATGGTTCATATCTCTAGATTGCTGAATTTTAAAAGTAACCCAGCACTACTAGATGGGATTTAATTGTAATCCACAGCTTTGGAATAACAGGTGACCTCTGTGGTCACATAATGAGGTCAGTGGCCATGGACATTTTGTGACCTGTGCTGTCCCCTCCGGAGGCAAGGTTCTTGTTGGATTTCAGGATTTGCTCATTTAATGGGCACCGTTGATTCACCAAACCTACTTTGCTGCCTTTTCTCCTCTCTCTGTCCTGTCCCTCTAGAGCTTCCTGGTCTTTTTTTTTTTTTTTTTTTTTTTTTTTTTTTTTTTTTGAGTACATGGCTGATGGGCGCATAATGTTTGCAGGATACCTGAGGGTAAACAGAATCGGCCTTTTGTGGCCAGAGGCTGCCCGCCAGAGATGGAGGGTCAGCAGCATTCCACTCTGTCAGGCCACCTACCGTATCTTATGTGGCTTTGTGGGCCTGCCTACCTTAGAGACTTGAAAGGTGCATGTGCTCTCTTTGGTAAGGCTTGGAGCACTACCCGCCCTGCATCTGGGTTTGTCGAGTCCTCCTCTGCAGCCTCACATCTTGGCTTACACACAGCTCGCTTGTGCAGATTTCCCTGGGCTACTTCCATGTGTACTTAGACTGCCCGGTGCTCTCCCTCACTGTCTCCATCGTTGTACATGGTGATGTTTATTATTTGTTTTTGTTTTTTGGTACCAGGGATTGAACTCAGGTCCTTGAGCTTGCGAGGCAGGCAGCCGAACCACTAAGCTAAATCCCCAACTAGTGATGTTTATTGACTATTGACTTGTGGATGCCACTGTCACCCACCAGAGCCTCCTGAAGATGATGATTGTGTGTCCTGTGCTCCACTGCCTCTGTAATACCTGGCACAGCATCTGGCACACAGGAGCTACTTGTTAAGTACTTGTTAGGTTAAGAAATGAAATTGTAGGACTGGGGATTTAGCTCAGTAGCACTGTGCCTGCCTTGCAAGTGCAAGGTCCCGAGTTCAATCCCTGGCACCCCCACACACAGAAATTAAATTGGGGAAATGGCTATCCCCATGCAAGTACAAATTACATAGAATTTATTATTTTGTAAAAGAACTAGTGCATAATTTAAAGGTCTAGTTATTTACTGTTACATTGATCTTCATTTGAAGTTTATTAACCATAATTCCTTTCTTTTTTCTTTCAGGTGGAGACCAGGGCTTACTGAACACATTTTTTAGCAGCTGGGCAACAACAGATATCAGAAAACACCTGCCATTTATTTATAACCTAAGTAGCATTTCTATATACTCCTATCTCCCAGCATTTAAAGCGTAAGTGCAAATGTTATAACTGTTGTTGGGGACAAGAAGGGGAGGGGAGTGGGGTTTAAGATGTTTGGGAGGTGTCTCACTGCCTCGCTGAGGGAGATACTACCAGTTAGGAACGTGGAGGTCTTTTTATTCCACAAAACATGGCTGCATTTGAGAGTGGCCTTGATGTCATCAGTGATCTGGAGGGCACCTAACTGCCTTGTAGGACAAGGTTCCTTGCATTGGTCCCTGGGTTTCCTGCCTGCTGGCAAGTCATCCATACACCATGGTCAGCAACACAGAAGGCAAGGTCCATACCTAGGCATAAACCCAGATTCATACTGGTTGCTGAGTTTCAGTTTTTCGACCTTGCAAAAAAGGGGTGTTAAAAGTTCCCCCCACAGCTGTTGTGTGGAGCAAGCAAGTCATAAGCAGCAGTGTGGTACCCTGGTTAAGAGTAGGAGCTGTGCTGCTGGGCACCCTCAGGGCACATCCTGGAATGGAATAGTCTCTTACTTGGTGGCAACCTTGGACTTGGCCCTAAACACTCTGCCTCAGTGTCTTTTATGGCTATTGTGAGCATTAAAGGAGGTTCTCACAGAACAAGGTTAGAAGAGGGTCTGGTCTGTGCTTAGCTCTCAGTTAATGCTAGGATATTTGCCATTTTGGTTGCCTGTCAGCATAGTGTTAATAATTTCCTGAAGCCAGAAAAGCGGGGCAATATGTCTATACTCTGTCCTTTATGACTGCGTACCAGTTTTCCATATGCAAAACAAGGATGAAAATAGTGTCTACCTCATAGGCTTGTCACGAGGATAGAGTATGTTAATGCGCATAAGTTCTCAGTGGACATTGGTCTTTGTTGTCGTCATTGTTTTTGGTAACGTTTTTGCTTAGCTGCTGGTATGGTTATAATACAGCAACTAATTCAGCCTCCTCACAGTGTTCAGCCTTCTGACTCAGTGTGTTGAACTAAGAAGATGATTCAGATTTCTTGAACCAGGGCCTAGTTGATCTTGAGACAGAGCCATGAGTAGTGAAGTCCTGTATTGAGCTGGGCTTGTCTTTCCTGCATGGGCATTCCTGAGTAGACAGAAAACAGAAGGCCTTTCACTCCTCACTTTTCATTGTCACTGTGAGTCTTGCACGGTAATGAGCATGCCTCTGTCTTTCTCTGGCAGAGATGTGTCCTTCTCTGTTTTTGAGTAGACTGTCAACATTCCCGAGTTAGGATTATAAGCATCGTGTGTTCTTTCCTCCATAAGTGTCCCATTGGTATTTGTCTATGACATAGCCTTATGGTTCTCTCCCCTTTCTGCAGTGAAATAGGGAAGCTCTAAAACATACCCACTATATTTTGAGTAAAGAAAATAGAAAAGGATTCACTATCGAGAGAGTAAGAGAAGCATTATTTTTGCCTCTCAGTATTTGGCCTTGTAAAACACAAATTTGTCTTACATAGGATTGTGGGCCTGATTTATTTTGATCCTTATTGTCTCATCTCTAGTCCTGCCAGTTGGCAGGTCTGAGGATTGAACCCAAGGCTTCACACATGCTAGGCAAGTGCTTCATCACTGAACTCCATCCCCAGCCCTTTAAAAAATTGTTTTTTGAGGTAGGGTCTTACTAAGTTTCCCAGGCAAGCCTCAGATTGTGATCCTTCTGCGTCAGCCTTCCGAGTAGCTGAGATCACTAGTATGTGTCACTATGCCTGGCTGGCCCTACTGATTTAAATATACTCCTACAAATCATGATGGCTTGATCCCCTAGAGGTGAATTTGTCTACAATTGGGAAGTTGCTTATATAAATTAATTGACTAAATTCAGCTTAAGCAAATAAATAGCTGAGCGTGTCAAGGAGAAAGAACTTTTAATAGCATGATATACCCAGCTTCACACAATGAGCTGTGGGTCTTAGGGTGACTCTGCTGGGCAGTATGGATCTGACATCCTGCAGTTGTTTTGTTCCCAAACATGGAGAACCTAGTATTTGGTGAGTAAATATTTTCCTCTGACTTCGTTTGAGTCCGTCTGATTTTTACCTTACTTCCCAACGGTGTATCTGTTGTACTTTTCAGAACGGTTTTCATATACACTGCTTCCATTTATTTTAATACAGAAGAACATGAAGCAGCTATAGCAGAGGCAACTGTAGGTCCTCTTATATCTCAAGAACCCAGTTGTTTTATATCCTCTGAATGAGTTTCCCAGAAAAAGCTTGAGATCTAAATTATCAAAGTGGCTAGGATGGTTTCTTCTTCATGGCCCAATGAGTGAGGCTAGTTTTGGAGATCTCTCTGGTTTATTGCCATCACCATAGAATATATGACGCATTGAGGGAATGAAGAATTACTCTACTCACTGGCCAGAAGTCAGGTGGCTTGCAGGCCGGCAGAAGTTCGTGCTGCTTCTGCGTAGCTTGGGGATGCCAGCTCTGCTTTTCTGTGATAAGACTGCTCAAAGCCAAGCCTTGTCTCACCCCATCGCTCCTTCTTTAGGAGTGTTGAAAGCAGATCAGAGAACTCAGTTTCTCTTCCATCTGTCAGAAAATGCTTTTATTTTTCTTGCTGAGGTCTATCTCAGAGATATTTCCCCTATATTTCCTTATACTTGTAGAAGGGATGAAAAGATATAGGTAGTTTTAAATTAATGTAAAATTGTCCAAATCCTTCTTAAACCTCAGTACCCTGTCACAAACATTTGAGTCACCATAGCTATTCCTGAAAAGTACTGTGAATGTGAGGTCTCATCTTGGGTTCTGAATTACTGTGGTACTCTCTGGGATTGAACAGGTTCTGTCCTGTGCTGCTTTACCTAGTACACCATGGCTGGTCGCACATGGAATAGGTACCATGGAGTGTTTTAGAGCAACTTGGGCTTCATGGAGGAAGTTGAAAATTTGTCTCACAACTCCAGATAACTATGTACCAGGTCACCAAGGCAGTTAAAATGTCCCAGACTCTTGAACCTTGGCTGTCTTAGGACAAAGTAGCAAACCTTTCAACAAAACACTATTATATGAAGTTACAGCTCAAGAACAGCCTAATGTGAATCAAACCTAACCATGAATTTGGGCCATAGGGTAGCATTTCTAAGTAGCATTTCTATTTGGATAAAGAAAAAGGTAAAGGTTACACTTAAACTTTTACCACTTTAGATGATTATTGAAACATATCTCCTGAAAAAACAAAATTAGTAACATTTTTGTAATAGAAGATCCTCTTTAATATAGTGTAATTTAAGAACTGCAATGCTTTGTTGAGTAATTTCTGAGATAATTTGTAGTTATATTCATTGGGAAACAAGTTATTAATGTGCTTCTCAGTGGATTAATGCTATTGAAAGTTCCTAGCATAATGTTTGTGATATAGTAGGCTTTTAGTTTTTTAAAAAATGTTTTCTTAGGCTGGGGATTTAGCTCAGTGGCACTGCCTGCCTGGCAAGTACAGGGTCCTGAGTTCAATCCTTAGTACTGAAAAAAGAAAAAAAAAATGTTACCTCTACCTAGAGTGTCCCTTTTAGTCATTAAGTAGAATTTGGCTTGTATATAGTGCTAGAAAAAATTTCTTTTTAAGACCTGTCATTTAGTGCTTTCTGTCCTAGCCACAGCTCTTTAAGCCATATCATACTATACAAAACATGCCCAAAATAAAGAATTCTCTGGTATTGCTTCATACCACTACAGAAACTATGGTCAAATTGATTGGCTACAAAGCCCAATTTACCAATAATTTCATAAAAATATTTTTATCTTAACTTTTTACTTGAGTTTAAATATGACCTGAGGCCTAGCCTAGTGAAAATTAAAATTTTCTCATTTATTTTACTTCTTTGAACTTTTTTGAGAATAGTCATCCATTTCAAGAAGGTGGCTTATTCACTAAGACCTTACCAACTGTACTTAAAATTAATATTTTAGAAGTTGAACCTTTTATGTTCTAAATTATATTGTTCTTGTACATTTCTGATTGATTGGTTTTACATGATCCCTGGCAGCCCCCTGACCAGTGCTTTCTCTGTGACTTATTTTCATTGAGGCCATAACTTTTAAAATTTCTTTTTACATTTCTAAATCTTTACCCCAAACCCTGAGACTGATACATTTTGAAAGACTCTTTTCTTTCTTTCTTTTTTGAACGCCCAGACATTTGTTGACCTACTCACTGTTTGTTCCCTCTGCAGTTCTGGAGCATGTGTAGGATGTCACGTATTCAGCTGCTGATCGAGACTCGAAGTGTTAACCCATTCTGCAGTTGCTTAGGTGTGCGGTTTCCCTACATTGCATAACCCGGTCCTTCAGGCATCAAATGTTGAGGAAGAATCGAGGGGTGGCTTTGCAGGCATCTTGTTCTTCTTGTTTGATGTTAGTGATACATCTGGATTTGGACCCCAGGGGCCCCATTTCTTAATGTGGCCATCAGGTCACTCTGACTTATCTCGAAATGTTTATCTGTCCTTGGATATTACTGCTGTTTTTCTGCTTTCCTACCTAGCTTTACTGGATAGAGATTCCATATCAGACACAACCCAGGCTTTACCTTTTTGTTTGTTTGTTTTATTCAGTGCAGGGAATCAAACCTCAGAGCCTAGCTACAACCCATCCTTTAAGGCTCTGACAGTAGGCAAAAGACAGCACAGGAGTGAGATCCCCTGGGTAGAAGTCCAGTTGCTGCATCAGTAGGAAAGGGAGCTAGCTCATGGGGGCAAAAGGGAGGCATTAAGTGTGAACAAAAACCTTCCTCGGAGACTGTGTAATGTGTTTTTCCTACAGATATGTTTTGTTTCTGCTGTGCAGAACTTCTTTGTTTTTAAAAAATTCAGTCTTTGATATTTAAAAATCATGGAATTTAGTATAAAACTCAGATCAAATACTTGATAGGATATGTCAAATATGACATAGGGGTTTATCACCTAAGCTAATGGGATTAGAATTTTCATTTCCTGCAAAGGGAAAGGCTGAGTGAGGTGGGTTCATGGGGGCAAGGCTTGATCAGAGAGGGATTAAATGTATTTGGTTTGGA